TTATTTCCATTGTTTTTTTATTAAAAAAATACTGAAAACCTCCACACATACACAAAAAAAAAAAAACTAAAACCCTAAGTCCGGCAGGCACAGTTGCGATGAACCGACGCTAGGGTTTGAGATCGGGAATGGAGGACGATGACGGAGGCACACAGAGATAGAAAAAGACCAACAACAAGAGAGAGAGAGAGAGAGAGAGAGAGAGATCGCAATGGTTTAGAGACAAATCGCGATGGCGAGAGAGAGAGAGAGACAGATCGCGATGGTTCAGAGACAGAGAGAGACATATCGCGATGGTTCAGAGACAGATCGCGATGGCGACGAACCAATGCCAGAGAGAGAAACAGAGAGATAGAGAGAGAACAACTCAAAATCAATTAATTTAAGTTATAATCTATCTCTCATAAGCTCAATCAAACACTCTAAAATGACTTATTTTAAGCCAAAAATTGATTTAAGCTACCTATAAGTTGTACCAAACGGGTCTTTTGGCCTCTCAAGAAGTAAAAGAAAGAAAGAATAGAGAGAGATAAACAGAGAAAAAATGAGAAGTAAAAAAGTAAGATTTATTTCACATCATTAAAAAGGTTGTTTGGGATGTGAAGTAGAGAAAAAGAAGATGTATATTTAGGATAATTTTTTGATTTTTTACAAAAAGATATGTAATAAAATCAAAATTACTATTTTACCTTTGTTGACTTTTTAACTTTTAATTTTTTGACATTTAAGTAATTAAATTCAAATGACAAAATAATAAATTTACTCTCTAAACTTTCTCCACAAACTTTTTAGAAATAATATAATGAGAGGGTAATTTGTATAGCCAAATTGGGCTGAGCTAGGAAGCATTGTTTCTGAATATTAGGTTGCGTTGTGGGCCATGTAAGATAGCTCGGTGTGGGAACAAGGGTTGACAGGCCGGTTGGTGAGCTCTAGTTACAGTCGTTCGGTAAGCCGAAGTGTTATGTCGGCCACATATAGGAAGCCGAGCTAGAGATAGCCCGGTGAGAGAATTCAAAGTAAATCGTGATTATGCAGACAGGTCGGAGGTGATTGCTGGACCTTAAACTACATAACTTGAAGTCCACGGCAGAACCATGGCATTTTATTTCTAGAAGGCCGAGCTATGCGCAGCTCGATAAAACACGGTGCGGTTCAGAGCAAGTTATCTCGGTTGGGCATCAGCAGCCGAACAAAGTGTGGCCATCTCACTTGGCTTGTAGTGATAGGGTATTGTAAGGATAAACATCATCCTTGGGTATGAGACTCCTAGGAGGACTCTGTTAAGGAGAGTACAGTCCTACTAGAATTGTGCAAACCATCTCACTTGGTTGGTAGTGAGTAAAGTGTGTGATTCATAGGAGGACTCTTATAAGGAGATTTGGAATCCTATTAGGATTGTGCCAAGCAGAGTCTATAAAAGCTCATAGCAGGACCTATGTATAGGTATCACAATTTTGACTCTCGAATATAAAGCTTTTGTTTATTGTTTATTTGCTGACTTAGGTATCGGAGAGGTATCCGGCATACACCCGCCGACTAGCTCACGTTTGTGTTTTCAAGGAGTAGGGCGACAACGTTTGGAGAAATGTAAACTTGATCAATAAAATTATATAAAAATATTATTTCGGTACATATAGACTTTTTGAAATTTTTTTAACAAGGATTTGACTTTTTCACTTTTATAAATAATAACTTTTTCACTTTTACCTACTCTAGCATAAGAGTTGCATGAATCGCGTTGGAGAGAATCAAACCATGTGAACGTGATCATGCGTGTATGTGTTATTTTTCTTCACTTAAACCGGGTAAAGGAGATGTTTTAAAAATCATATATATATATATATATATATATATTTTACAGTGAGTTATATTAAATTGAGCTTTTAGTTAAAATTGTTGAACAAATTAATTGAAAAATAATAAAAATAAGGCGCTCTTATATAAAAATTAATTAATAATTAAAGAATAATGTTAGAGATTTTTAAAAAATGATCAAAAATTTTATCAAATATTTCATATAGATGTGAAACTCACATGATGTGTGAGATAGGTGGTAGTGATGATAACCATGGTGTAGGTGGTGAGTTTGGTAATAAGCTTAAGCCTCTCATTTGAGAATATGTTATATATAAGGTAAAAGAATTAATATTTTGGGATAATTCTTTTATTTTTTATGAAAAAATATGCAAAAAATAAAGAAAAATATAATCTTTGATTTTTTTTAAATAGCTCGTTGACCGTTTGAATTATATTTTTTTATTATTTATTTTTAAGCTAAAATATGTCATGGTGGAGATTTTTTGACATAGATAGACATTGATAGTAATTACTGGTAATAGAAGAGAGTGGGGGTTATATTGTTAAATTGAAGACATTGATAGTTTGTGAAGAAAGGAAAAATACGGTAGTGCTATGCCCCACAAATTTTTCTCACAAAAGTATTATTCACAATTTTTCATTTATAAGAGTTCACATAAACTCTTACTGGTAAAAATTTGTAAACAAATATTCTTGTGAGAGAAATTTGTAGGGATTGATCATTTTTCGTGAAAGAATAATGGTTGAGAGCTCTAGGATAAGAGCTCTAAAACATGCACTAATGACATGGATGTGTGTGGGGTCCAATTTGGTGTGATGTTTTAGCTTGAATTTCTTTTTTTTTTTTTTTTTTGGATATGCCAGCTCAGTAGAGCTCTTTTTAGAGCTCTACGTTTAGAGCTCTATAGCATTGTTGTTTCATGAAAATAACATTTTATGAAATTAAAAAGGTCATTTTAATAGACTTAAAATCATATAAAGCTAATAACAATTTGATTAAAATTCAAATTATGTTGCCTCAACTTCATTTGCTTGTTCTCTTATTAGGAATAATGTATAACTTCAAACATCACTATTTAGGGTTGTAAATTGATCGTCTTAATAAAATGTAGTTTGTTTCAAATTTTCTTTTCTTTAATACTGATCAAAATGTTATATTTAAATATTTTCATGTATTATAAATTTTTTATTAAAAGATAAGTAATAAATGATACACATTTTGCTATAAAAATTAAAAAAATATATAGGAGTAACATTTATAGAACATCTTCCATCATCTCTCTTTATTTATTCTTAACATAATTTTTTTTAAATTTCTATAAAATCCTTAAAAGTTCTTATCAATCAATCTGTTACGCAAAATAAAAAATTAATACAAAAATTGAATACACAACATATTCTAAAGATAATCGTTAGCATTTTTTCTTTAAAAATTGACAAAAAAAATCTAAAATTACAAAATCAAATACAATCTATAGAACAAGTCTTATTACAAAATAGTATATCTATTCTGTAATTGATTACAAATAAATAAATAAAATTGTATAAAATGGTGATCTTAAAGCATCTTCAACGGTGCATCAATTTTTTTTATTAAATTTGAATAAAAGCTTAGTTTGATATCAAGTATTTCAACGAAAGATTTTAAAATTTCATCAGAATACTGGTTGACCGAGCAGACTACCGGGAGGATGTTTGGCTGGTCGATCGACCAGTGTAAATTTTATTTTTTTATTTTTTTGCCTTGAGGTGGTCGACTGGCCAATGCAATTTTTTTACAAAATTTTGCCTTGAAGTGGTCATTTGGGAGGACATTCGGAGGGACGTTCGACAACGGTAATGGATAGTGATTTTATGAAAGACACATTGGTCCTCAGTTTGATGACAAAAAAGTAAAATTCTCAATTTGATATTTATTTGATGCAACTATTGGAACAACAAAAAGACTTGAATTTGATGAAAATTTTGAGTAATCATTGGAGATGGTCTAACACAGTATATACTTTTCCCACTAAATATAGATTTATTAATGGGATTATTTCACATCAGTATACAACTTCAAAAATAATTACAAATTAATAATAATTTTTATTGATATTACTAATAATTAAAATCATAAAATTGTCCATACATTGTAATAATTTTTTGAAGATCATATGGGATAGTTTATTTTGAGAAATAGATTAAAAGTTAATTTTTTTATTTTCTTTTAAAATAATGTGCAAAAAAGTAGATCAAGAAAGTTAAAAAGTTACTTTTAACTATGTTCTCAAAACAAATTAGGAAAAGCCAATGTGAAAAAAGGGATTTACGTGTAGGTTTTACTAGGTAAATTTATTGTTTAATAGATCTTATGATAATTAATAATATTTTTCATTAAACACTATTTAAAAATAAATTAATTGTTAATTTTCAACGACAGTTTAAAAATTGTCAATTTTTAACGACATATGCCAAAAAAAAAAGTCATAAAAAATTATTTTTAATAATAAATTTGTTTAGCTTGCTTGGTTTCATTTTTTCAAAAACACTTTTCAGAAAATTCTATTTTCTTATTTTACGTGTTTTTTGTTTTTACTGATTTTTTTTTACTTTTTAGACACACTTAACATAAATACACCTACAAAGTGAAAAAAAATTGGAAAAAAAAAATCTTTTAAAAATTCACTAAATACCAAAAATATAAAAAAAATACAATAATTAAGTACATTTTTTGTATTTTTATGTATTTATTAAATTTTTAAAATATTTTTTCACAAAATTTACTTTTTAGATATATCTAAGTAAGGTGCATCTAAAAAAGTAAAAAAAAAAATGTTTAAAATTTTAAAAATATTCACTAAAAACAAAAAAATACGAAAACTAAAAAACTCATTTTTCAAAAAATTTAATTCAAAAAATTCAAATCAAACACATTGATTAAGATTTATTTTTAATTATTTAAAAACAAGTTATTTTAGTAATTTTTTAAGTAAAATATGAGATAAAAAAATTAAAATATTTGAAACATTTTTAATTTTTTATGATGATATGTACAAAAACAGACCACATGTCAAACGAGACTATCACAAGGAATAAGCATAATTAGCAGGACATATTGGTAATTTAACCATGTGAAAGGGAAAGGCATGAAGTGAAGTGAGTATTGTTTCCTATATAATGAATCTAATCCCCAAATCCCAAAATTCCATTGAAACATCTCTTCGTTCTCTTTTGGGCTTACCACCATTTCTCTCTTTTAAATTTTCATTTTTTTTATTCCTAAACATCTCTGCAATCACAAGACCCATTCCTAACAAAGCAAAAATCTATCCTTTCTCCGGTTTAATTTTCTCGCATTTTCTCTTCCTTTCTCTCAGAAAATTTTCTCATCTCTCTTCCGCATGCCGTAACAAAAGTTTTTTGTCTCTCTAATATTTTCCTCGGGATTCTCTTGTGATTCAGAACTACATTTATTGCCCTGTAGATGCATATCTGTAGAGAGAGAAAGTGAGAGCCAGTGTTTGGTAGTTGGGATTCGAGAGAGAGAGAGAGAGAGAGAGAGAGAATCGAAGAGTTGAGTTGGAAAAAGGTTTGAGGTATTGGAGTTGAATGGCGGAAATTGGAGTGAAATGGAGGGTTTTGAGATCGATATCGTTGATATCGTGGAATTTTTTATTAGCATCAGTGCTTGTTGCAGCTGAAAGAAGCTTGAAACAGCAATCATCAACCTATACCCCTGCCCAAGAAGCATCAGGATCAGATTATTTTTCACAGTTTGTGAATTTCTTGTGGCAATCGAATGAATCTGGGTACCAACATGTTTGGCCTGTAAGTCAAATTATCTATCTGATTACGTCTTGAAGACTTTTCTTTTCTTTCTTTTTGTATTGTTTTTTTTTTCAAATCTTTTTGAAAAATTCCAAGCTTCAGTTTTAACCATTTTTTATTTTTTATTTTTTTAAAAATACCCATCTCCAATCAGTTCTCTTTTTAAAATTTCATCAAATACAAGAAAAAATATGACTGGGAAATTTGGTGATGGATTTGGTTCATCCTTGTTTTGGTTTAAAAAAAAAAAAAAAAAAATTTGCCCATGCCGTGATTTGATACAGATTTGATAAAATGGTTGGAGCACACTTCTAGCCATTTTCCCTCAATTTTGAATTTGATGAAAAATTTGATGAAGGATTGGAGATGTTATGTTGATTCCATTGCTATTACCCATTTTTGCATAATAATTAACAAAGATGGTCCAAATCAACTAACTTGTTAATTTATTGGTCTAGTTGGTGTTATATTCTTTTTGCTTTATATTTTTCTTTGTGGGTTGGTTGACCTTTAAATGGATAGGGTTGCAAGCTTAGCCAAATAGTAGTGTGTTCAAGCTCTGCTCGATAAAACTTGAGCTTGACCTCGGCTTGGTTCAACTCGATTATATAAACAAGCCAAGATTAACTTGCACGTTGTGCATGTTTTTGAGTTCAAGCTCAAGCTTGAGCTCAAAAGGAAAAATCAAGCCTCGAATGCACATCAAGACTGAAAACAGAAGGTTATGGAAAAAAAATATAAAATAATGCTCATGTTAGTAATAAGAAAATAATGAAAATAATTATTTGGTTTACCTATGAATGAGGTAGATGTCATGTATATATAATAGATTCATCATACAATTTAGGAAACAATATAAATAAGGAAACAATACTACATCAGTAATTGATACAATCACAGATTATATACATACTACTAAAAATAAATGATTTTATATACTTTAATTTCTATATTCAATACTCCCCCTCAAGCTGGTGTGAAGATATTCAACAATCGCAACTTTTCAACAGATGACTGGAAGAAATCAGAAAAAACTCAATGGCTAGTCCAAATAAATGCTACCGAACAAATTTGGTAGTCCACTAAATAAAAAAGGCCAAAAAGTGTTTAATACATTAGCACCACACTCTAGAAAGAGAAAAAAACAAGGATTGAATTATCCTAGAAGAGCTACCAAAGCATCTATGGTCAGGAAACACCCTGGTTGGCATTAGAGGTCGGAGCTAATGCTGGGAGATAGTTTATTTTACAAATTGGTCGGAACTAATGTTGGGACAGTTTAAGGTCATATTGGACCATTATAGGAACTGACCGGAATTAATGTCGGGACAGTTTACGGGGTCATGTCAAACCGTTGTAGGAATTGACCGGAATTAATGTCGGAACAGTTTAAGGGGCCATGTCAGACCGTTGTAGAGACTAATCGGAATCAATGTCGGGACAGATTAAAGGGGTCATGCTAGACCGATGTAGAGAATTGGATGTTGAACCAGTAAGCGTGCTACACACATATCTTATGATGTGGTGCTGAATGATGATGGCAACAGATGATTAAGTGTGCTAGGGGGTGACTTATTAGAAAGTGCGTCAGGGGGTGGCTTGGATGGTCACATGGTATATCACCATGATATAGGTATAATACCCCCCTCAAACTTAAATAGGTTTGAAGATAGAAACTTATTTGAGGTTGAAATAGAGAGAAAGATAAAGTGGGACAGAAACACACAAAAAAATGAATTGTGATTAAAAAAATATCGGGGGGGCAAAGGTAAGGCTTCCGCCCGCTGGTGAAGCAAAATTACTAGGTACTTAACCTAACTCTGATACTAAAAAGAATGGAAAGAATTATTTGGCTTATCCATGAATGAGGTAGATGCTATGTATATATAATAGATTCATTATACAATTTAGGAAACGATATAAATAAGGAAACAATACTAAATCAGTGATTGACACAATCACAAATTATAAACATAAAACTAAAAATAAAAATTAAAAATCTATGTACTCTAATTTCTATATTCAATAATAAGTTTAGTCAGTCAATCAAGTATGTAAAACATCAATCATAAATAAAAAAGTACATATACATTTAGCTGATAGTATTTGGGACAAGGCACTATTGAGTTGACTTCAGTTTGTAGACATATCTTTATGTAGTATGCATGCATATTTGTATGGAAGCAACCTCACTTGTGCTTGCATATGTATAAATACATAGTTGATTGTTTGTTTGTTGCCATGCTGAAGTTGTGTAATACGTGCAAATTGTAAGAATTGATTTGTGAGGACAATTGTTGAATTTGATTTGCAGGAGATGGAATTCAATTGGCAAATTGTTTTGGGTACTATAATTGGATTCTTTGGAGCAGCATTTGGGAGTGTAGGTGGTGTTGGTGGTGGTGGAATATTTGTTCCTATGCTTAGCCTAGTTATCGGGTTTGATCAAAAATCAGCAACTGCAATATCAAAATGTAAGAGACAGATATCCATTTAATAATACTTCCAGAAAAGATTTGCTTGTTTTTAACCAGCACGAATGCAGTGACTTCTTCCAATTAACTTTGTAGATGTGAAGTTTTCTTTAAAATATGTATGTCTAAATTTATTTTTGTTTTCTAAAATTGAAGGAAATGAGAGAAAAGAAGATGAATGAGTTGACTCAAGTCTGGTTTTGAATTCATTCTAAACAATGGAAGACATGTCTATGTTCATAAGTTTTTTTCAGTTCTGAAAGCAAAATATTATTGGAATGCGGACAGATGATATAATGCATTAACATGACTCCAATTTTCTTGGAGGTGAATTTTAGTTGTTTTGGCATTATTGAGGATTAAATATTCAGACGTCAGAGACAGTACAGAGGTTCACTGTGACATCAGTCATAGCTGAGGCAGTTCATATGACTAAAGCTTTAAACTAAAGCTTCTTATTTTTTTTTTTTCCTCTCTCAAATTGGTTGACAGCCATAGAAAGAAAATGGTATTTCTTGATTTTACTTTCTGTTTCAGTTCTAATTTCATAGATTTGCATTATTTTCTGTTCAGGTATGATCATGGGTGCAGCAATCTCCTCTGTCTACTACAATCTTAAGCTCAGGCATCCTACACTTGATATGCCAGTCATTGACTATGACTTGGCACTGCTTGTCCAACCAATGCTCATGCTGGGCATTAGCGTTGGTGTTGCTTTCAATGTGATTTTCGCTGACTGGATGGTCACCGTTCTACTAATTATTCTCTTCATAGGTAATGTTTGGTTGCATTTTCAATAGTTCTTGCTATGTGTTCTGCCCTACTCATACTGTGGAGACTACATGGCGGTTTGCAGGCACATCAACCAAGGCCTTTTTCAAGGGTGTTGATACATGGAAGAAAGAAACAATAATGAAAAAGGTATCACAAGGTTCATGCATTTAAGAAGTAAAACGGAAGTTACAAGTCAGTCAGAAAATGAGATCATTTCACTTAGTTTTCAGTTGTATCTGAAATGTTCTTTTTCTTGCTTGTGTAGGAAATAGTTTGGCTTCAAAGAAAGTATGCAATTTCAATTTATTTTTTTTTGCAATTTTTATTTCGAGCCGTGCTGATTAAAATTGATGTAATATAATATGGCATTAGGATTTCTGCTTTTGTTTTCATATGGTGTGTGTGTGTATTTTTGCAACCAATCTTAAATCTTCCATTCTGAATATCAATTTTCTGATTTCAGGAGGCTGCTAAGCTTTTGGAGGCAAATGGTGAGTTGATCCGGTGTTCTTTCTATATAACAACACCAAATAGATCCTCTTGCTTATTTATTTTTATTTTTCTGTTGTGGAATATTCACGCATATTTCCTGTTATATCAGGTAATGGTCATGAGGGAGCAGAATACAAGCTCCTTCCTGATGGCCCAAGCAATGGCACCAAAAAGGAATCCAATGGGACTACAGAACGAGAGGTAAGTAGCCTGTAACAAGCTGTTTACAGTTCCAAAGATCCCTCAATTCTGATACGTATAAACATCACAGGTCAGCATAATTGAGAATGTTTACTGGAAGGAGCTTGGGCTTCTTTTTTTCGTGTGGATTGCATTCCTTGTACTGCAGATCACCAAGGTTTTATCTTCTTCTTTTTTTTCTTTTTATTTCTCCTCATTTTTTATTTTATTTTTGTAAATATTTGATTTTTCCTTTTTGTACATCTTATTAAGTTATAAGTTTTTTTTTGTTGCTTTGTTTTGTTTTGTTTTTTTTTTTCTTTTGAAAACAGAACTATACAGCCACTTGTTCAACAGCATATTGGGTCTTGAACTTATTGCAGGTAAATTTTATTATTTCACCCAAAAGTTAGAGATTCATGTAGTTTTTTTTTCCTCTATTGGACTGAGTCTGTACATGTAAAAATTGCAACTAACTTGAAAGTTTCTGTTGATATTACGACAGTGTCAAAAAAAAGTTTTTAGCTTTACAGACTGCAAACTGGGTTTTCAAGCATCTATGTGAATTTATCTTTTCAATTGTTCTGCAGATCCCAGTTTCTGTTGCGGTAACTTTGTACGAGGCAATTGGGCTGTACAAGGGGAAAAGACAGATTTCATCAAGAGGACATACAGGCACTAACTTGAAAGCACACCAGCTGATCTTGTACTGCTCCTGTGGCGTACTGGCTGGTATAGTTGGTGGACTGCTTGGCTTAGGTGGAGGATTTATTTTAGGTCCATTGTTTTTGGAGCTGGGAGTCCCTCCTCAGGTAATTTGCGTCTTTCTTTTCTTTTCTTTTCTTTTTTATTCAAAATTTTGTGTTTTCAGTGCTTGCACTAGAGTGAAAAAGAAAAAACTAAATAAATAAACAAAAGAGAAGGGTAGCAGTAACTTTATATTTCACTATTCATGTTGGTTATCTTTTACTACTTAAATCCAGGTTAGAAGAATATGGCTGATTCGTTGTTATGTATATCACTATTAGGTTTTGTACCCTTCCCTTGATATTGCCTTATTATTAAATTAACCTGTTTGCTTTGTGGAAAATGAAATCTATTCCAAGTAACATCAAAGAGAGTTTCTGCTTTCATTCTTTAACTTCGAAATATATTTCCACTATATGTAACATCGACAACAAGACAAGTCAATCATGATAATCTAGGATTCCAATTTTTTTTTTTTTTTTGACTTCTTGTTTCCAGAATCTGTTTGACCGTTCGAGTAAGCTAGTGTAAATTAAAATTTTAACACAAATGGCGGAAGTTTTTTTTTTGGGGGGGGTCTTGTAAAAGCAGATTGTGTTATTTCTGGATTATTGTAATAATTCAACAGGTTTGCAAATAATTCTGGAGTTGTTTTTATTATTAGGATATTTTTGAATAATTTGATATTTAATGACTGGATGAGGAAATTAGGTGTAGTATGTTGAACAAAAATTTCCACTGAATTCGGGGTCGGGGAGTCGGGTCACCGTCGGGCCGGTTTCAGATTGCCATCTCTAGTCTTGTAAAAGCAGATTGTGTTATTTCTGGATTATTGTAATAATTCAACAGGTTTGCAAATAATTCTGGAGTTGTTTTTATTATTAGGATATTTTTGAATAATTTGATATTTAATGACTGGATGAGGAAATTAGGTGTAGTATGTTGAACAAAAATTTCAGGGATAAAATTGGAAATTTAGGAAAAAGCACGTGGACGGTGATCTAAGTTTCCAAAATGTGGATCTCATATAATCCCAAACTCAGACATAGATGTTTAGATAGCAAAGGAAGATAAAAACAACCATGCCGTTGAAACGGTTCCTTGTGCTGTGTTAATTACAAGCATTTGCATTCCGTCTTGTCCTAAACTCCTTGAGAACGTTTGTGCAGGTTTCAAGTGCTACAGCCACCTTTGCAATGACCTTCTCCTCATCAATGTCTGTCATAGAATATTATCTTCTAAAACGTTTTCCGGTACCCTATGGTAAGTTAGTGTTCCATATTACTGAAACAGTTTTTATAAAGCAGTTTTCTGTTATTCTCTTGAGAAATCATCTAAAAGTATAACGAGTAAAAGACTTGAGTTCCATTTGAATTTTGTTTGAATTCAATTATTTTTTGAGTGTTTGTGCAGCTCTTTACTTTGTTGCTGTGGCAACTGTTGCTGCTTTTATTGGGCAACATGTTGTACGGAAATTGATCATTATACTGGGAAGGGCATCCTTAATCATCTTCATTCTGGCTATCACGATCTTCGTAAGCGCAATCTCCCTAGGTGAGCTTCATTTTTCCCATTAGTTGGACTGGTGAAATTCCCAGGCAATAAATTAAATGAGTCTTTACAACTTAACTGTTTTTGAAAGCATTAACTACAATGTCTATAGTCTGATAAGAGGGTATCAATTCTCATCAGCTTTTCTCAGTGGGCTGAGTAGTGATTGAAGTGAGAATGATACGACAAACAACACACTACTTGTGAAATTCTTGATTTCTTGATACAATTTATTTTTGTTTTTGATAGGTGGGGTAGGCATATCGAACATGATTGGGAAGATTAAGCAACACGAATACATGGGTTTCGAGGACCTCTGCAAATACGATGCTTAATTTGTCGTCATCACCTCTTCTTTTCTCCTCTCACATTTAATAGGATTCCCAAGTGTCATAATGAGGCGGGCTCAGTATACAAATCGGCCTCGTGCCGTTATGCACGTTTGTGGGACAAATGAATGATTGCATTGATTCAGCTCCACTGAAAATTCAGTATGTTTGCTTTCATATGCTTTCAGTGTCTTTCTGTACGAAAAAATTCTGCTGTATTTGGAGCTGCAGTAAGAAAGATACAAAAGGAGTGTTTTCAGTGTTTTTTTGTTTTTTGTTTTCGTATTTTTGGGTTCTTACATGGAATGGAACTTTTGAATAATTGTAATAATTTATTGTTTGACCCTTGAAAATTCAATTGATTCAACTTTTGAGTTTTATATTTCACCATCACCCTCTTGTGGTTATGGGATTCATTTGCAACAATGAATATTCTTCTAATAAATTTATATAAAAGAATATGCTCTAATCGGTTATAATGTTGTGAATTTTGGGACATTGACTGAAAATAAGATTTGATGGATTTCAATTTTGAGAGTTTTGTGCACATGTGCTCTGATTATTGTGTAACATGTGGCTGAGTTGGCTAGTATATACCCTTTGTTCTGTCTATCAGAATGTTGGCTCACATGGCTACTACAGTCACATCAACGAAATTCAGATGCTTTTTATCAGGTGGAATAAAATCTCTTGATTACACAATTCTGTTTTCTTCTTCAATGTGAAGATCATCATTATAACTTTTTTTTGGCTCCTTTTGGGGCATGATATGAACAACCATTTCAAACACCAATGATTACAGAATTTTTGTTGGCCCACATGGGTAAAAGTAGGTGTATGAATAATGTCATAACCACAAGAGGGTGAGCCAACAAAAGATTAGAAGTACTGATCCTGGAACAACAATATGCATGAAGGTGAAAGAAGGTGCAAAAGTTGATGAAAAGGATGACTAAATGTCCAAGTTTAAGAGATTGTATTTCTGTTGGGGTCCATTGAAGGAGGGCTTCCAGAATGCTTGTAGGCCAATCATTGGTGTGGATGGTTGTCATTTGAAAGGTCCACATGGTGGAGTGTTGTTGATTGTAGTAGGGATAGATACAAATAATTGTATATTCCCGTTTGCCTATGCTACTATTGAGAAGGAGAAGAAGAAGAAGAAAACATGGCGGTGGTTTCTGAATTTGTTGGGGCAAGATTTGAACATTGTAAATTATCATTGTTACACTTTCATGAGTAACAAGCAGAAGGGCCTAATGGATCCAGTGGCTGAGCTATTTCCAAATGCCCACACAGGTTCTATGTAAGGTATTTGTACAATAATTTCAAGTGTGAATATAAGGGAAGGGTATTGAAGGATTTATTATGGAAGGCTGCTAGGGCAAGCACTGTTGTTGCATTCACCAAAGTCATGGAAGAAATCAATGGAGTTGATGGCCAAGCATACAATTGGTTGGTAGCAAGATCACCAATCCATTGGAGTAGGAGTCATGTCAGCAGTTTCCCCAAGTGTGACATTTTGTTGAATAATCTATGTGAAAGTTTCAATTCAAGCATATTGCAAGCTAGGGATAAACCTGTGGTCACCATGTTGGAGAAGATAAGAGTCTTATTGATGGAAACAGTTCAAAAAAGACATGAAGCAATTAAAAAGTACAACAAAGGCCCTATATGTCCTAAGATTCAGAATATTTTGGAGAGGTAAAGGTTAGTGCAGCCGGTTGGATTCCTAGACGAAATGGGGCTTCCTAATTTGAAGTTGTTGGTCCATATGGTGAGCAACATAAAGTGGACTTGAAAGAGTGGATTTGTGGATGTAGGAAATGGGATCTATCAAGCATTCCTTGTGTCCAAGTTGTAGTTGCTGCAAACTATATAGGTGAAGAGCTAGAAAATTATGTGCATCACTAATATAAAGTTGAAACCTACCTCAGGATTTATGAGTTCATGTTGACTCCAATCAATGGTAAATAAATGTGGCAAACACCTGCATATGCTAAAGTGCTACCACCTGATGTGAAGAAGAGAGTGGGAGGCCAAGACTGCATAAGAGGAAGGATACTGATGAATCAATTGATGTAATTGATTCAGGTAAGTTGGGAAGAAGGGGAATCCAAATGACATGCAAGAACTATGGCAAGTTGGGACATAACAAGAGAACATGCACAATCAAGGGCCAATTCACTTACTTAACAGATCCTGTGAGTTCCACTCAACTAATTCATATTTTTCATGCATTTTGTAAACTTACACATTACTAACTTTTGTTTTTTAGTTTTTGCAGTCCCAGCCTGAAGGAAGCCAAAGTCAGACCTAGACTGACGGGAGCCAAACTCAAAGTCAGGTAGAAAAAAGCTTGGTTGGGAGTCAGGTTACAGAAGTAACTAAAGTTATGAAGAAGAAGCTGGCTGTAAGTTTTAAAAATTTATTTGTTAATTAATGTATTCCTTGCGTATGTCCTAACAATGGTGAGGGCTATTGCAGGTAGAAAGGAGAATGGTTATGACAACAAGTGACTCAACTCCATTGCATGCAAGTCAGGATGTGCAGGGGTCTGTAGTAAGTTCCAATACTAACACTCCTCTGCAAGGTCAAATGAGATGGAGAGGAAGAGTGGTGTACGATGCTAGTGCTGTCAAATCTCCTCTGGGTGCAACCACGAATGCAGCTGAGACAAAGTATTTAGAAAATGAATGACCAGTGTTGTTGTTGGTTTTTTTTATTTTATTTACCATGCTGGAGAAGGTTTTTACTACTTTTGTTCATGGAATACAATGTAATGGATGTCAAGATTTTTGCTACTTTTGTTCATATTCCATAACCATGACAATGGTAGGGGCTTTTTGTACATTTGAAGCTTGGTTTTTGTATTGGCTGCCCCTTTCTTAGTATATGTTTTGCACAACATGAATGACAAGTGTGTGAACTGATCAAAGTTTGAATGATAATTTAGTGCCTTTACTACTGTTGTGACAAGTCTTGGTGTTTATTGGTAATGGACAGATGTGTGTGTGTGTTTTGGTGATGGTTTTTTTTTTCTTCTAGTTTTTAGTTTATGGATGGACACAACAATATAAGCAATAATGTCAATTTTTCTGTTGTATTGTTTTGACTAATTTGAATTTGGAGTGACAAATTGTGTATGTGATTCACAATCCTTTCCCAACTTCCAAGAGTTCATTGGTGATGGACTGCTATGTGTGTGTGTTTTGGTGCTTGTTTCTTTTAATTTGCAGTCCAGGAATGGACACACAGTGAAATGAAGAATGTAAATTTGGTGCCTTTACTGTATTGTTTTGCCCAATTTGAATTTGGAGTGACAATTATGGTCCCAAATTGTGTCCCAACTTCTATGTGTTTCTTTTGTCTATGTCAGAGTCACCAAACAAAAAATAATAGAGACAACATTAATAGGTCACCACACACACAATTTTCATCTCAAAATCATATTTTTCCATTAACAACAGTTCACCCATTGCATATGATTCAGAAACCGGATACAGACTCCATTCATTCTTACACCACCATACAACTTGTAACTTTACATTACAAACCATATTCCTACAACCAATCATGATAAAACCAAGCAAATCCATAGTTTCCTCTCTCTTCCAGTCCTTCTCTTCAGTTGTGCTTCCATCTTATTCAACTTCTTCAACAGACTAGGAATGATCTACACTGCCCGATCGCACATGGGTAGGTCTACCCAGGTAAAGTGATTGTAACCATTGTTAGGGAAACTATGAAATCTCCTTCTATGATTTGTGTTGGTCCATGCTGTGTGTATCAGCCTTCTTCTTCCACAAATATTGCAAAACATCTCTTCCACACCGTTTCCCTTGATTTCTTGAGCTTCGATTGTTCCTCATTTCTTCTCTCCCACTGATTTCATTGATGCTCCATTTTTTTTTTCCTTCTATTTTGTTGTAGTCTCTGTTTTTGTAGGTTGAAGGAAATACAAGGGAAGGTTAGGTTTTGGTGGGCAAGCCTTAATTTTCCCTCCATGTGAAAGTATAAGGGGCCACGTCACTCATTCCGTCCACTTCCTACAGAAATAGACAGCAGGGGTGAGATTGATAGTAACTTGCACAGTATGGGGGTACATATGAAAATAAGTGTAGTCTGGGGGGGTCTTTGAAAATCATGTCAAAGTATAGGGATATAAATGAAATTTGCTCAAACAAACCTCATATCCACTACCAAAGTCCATTTTATGCTTAGTGCTCACAATATTTGAAGAATCTCTTTGATAATATTAAAAAAGGAATCACCATTTTGAAAGTGAAAATAAAGAAGAGAAGCCATTGATGCACTTTTAAAACCATATTTTAATTTACAAAATAATTGTTAATATATAGACATTATTAAAGTAACTAAAAAAAAAAGAAAAAGGAAAAGAACAGTATGCACAGACCAATTAAAATATGAAAGGTGTGTTTAGTTTGTGTTTGTAGAGTAGTTTTTGAGATAAAAATTACGAAAACTTGTTTGGTTTGCCTTTTTTCAGAAATAGTTTTGGAAAATTATTTTGGGGAGAGAGTTTTAAAAAAAGTGATTGATTTGATGTGTATGAGAGAGTGTGATTTTGGAAAGTAGGTAACCAAACAAAATTTTGAGATTTTTTTTGGAAAAATTTGTTTGGTTTGATTACTCTTGAAAATTTGTTTGTAGAGAATTTTTCTCAAAATTTTTTCTGAAAAACAAACCAAACAAGCCCGAAATGTTTTTGGGTATAGTGGCCAAATGCCATGATGTCTCTGCCAAGAAAATAAATAAATAATTAATTATTTAAATGATTCATCAAATGCTGTGTCTCTGGCGTGTGGATATGGGGGCCCAAGAGTTAAAGAGAGAAATGGCAGCTATTAAATTTGACAAATGTCAAAACTTGTGTTAAATTCGACACAAGTTTTGGCAGTTCCCATATGTGCCAGATCATGAAGAAACATCTCCTTCCTTCCCTCCCTCCTCCCAATGAAATATCCCTCCTTATTGCCCTCCATTTTTACAAAAAAACACAGAAACTGGTGTATTCAGATGATCGATTGGTCATCTAGACACACCAGTTTCTGTGCCAAAATGGCAGTCGAACCATTGGAGCAGCATTGCTATTTTTCATCCATTTTCAACTATTCATTACAATAATTTGACAATAACAATGCTATTATAATATTTGTCATTGAAGATGCTCTAAGCCTGTTAATACTTAGATTAATATCTTAAACACAATCATTAACTTATTAAATTATGAATAATTTAACATTTATAGAAAGCTTGCCTTCTTCCACTTTAACGTGTGCCCCTCTCACTCTCTCATGCATTATCAAAATTATAGGGTTACAATATAAAAAAGTCTTGACTAAAGAAAGGGATACAATTCAATGCAAGTGTAGAAAAGAAAAAAAAA